TACTTATGAAAAATGTATGTTAAGAAATGTCTGTTAAGGTCTTTTGCCCATTTTTAAATAAAATTATTTGATTTTGCTATTGGGTTGTTTGAGTTCCTTATATATTCTAGATATTAACCCTTCGTCAGATGTATGGCATACAAATATTTTGTCTCTTTCCTCTTTTGGTTGTTTCCTTTGATGTACAGAAACTTTTTAATTGAATATAATTCTATTTATATATTTTTACTTTTGCTGCCTATTCTTTTGAAGTCTTATCAAAAAAAATCCTTACACAGTCCAACATCATAAAAAACTCCTCCTGTTTTCTTCTGTTAGTTTCATAGTTTCAAGTCTTACGTGGAAGTCTTTTGAGTTGATTTTTGTATGTGGCAAAATATAGGGGTCCAGTTTCATTCTTCTGCATATGGATATCTAATTTTGTCAGCATTGCTTATCAAAGAGACTGTCCTTTCTCCAATGTGTGTTCTTGGCACCTTCATGAAAAATCAGTTGGCTGTAGATTCATGGACTCATTTCTACATGGGTCTTTGTTATTATGCCAATACTCTGCTATTAATATAATTAATATAATAATACTTTGTTATTATGCTTTGTATGGGTCTATGTTATTATGCCAATACTCTGCTATTTTAGTTACTACATCTTTGTAGTGTATGTTGAAGTCAAGTTGTATGATGCTTATAACTTATTTTTTTTCTCAAGATTGCTTTGGCTATTCAGAGTCCTTTGTAGTTCTATATAATTTCTTTTTAACATCAACTGCCCAAAAGTCCAACATACAAATTTTAAGATTGCTTTCTCTTGGGCATTTTAATAATATTAATTTTTCCAGTCCCTGAACAAGGATATCTTTCCATTTATTTGTGCACTCTTCAATTTATTCCATTTATGTTTTATAGTTTTCAGGTTTGAGATCTTTTAACTACTTGGATAAATTTATTCGTAGGTATAACTATTGCCAAGTGGGACTGGCTTTTCTTTTTCAGATAGCGCACCATTAGTAAGCAGACATGCTGCTGATTTTTGTATGTTAATTTTGTATCCTTCAACTTTGCTGAATGTGTTTATTGGTTCCAATGGTTTCTTAGCAAACTTAGCAAATGGTTTCTTTAGCATTTTCTCTATATAAAAACATGTTTTCTGCAGGGACAATTTAACTGATCCCTTTCCTATCTGTATGCCTTTTATTTCTTTCTCTTGCCTAATCACTCTGGCTAAGACTTCCAGTACTATGTTGAATAGAAGTAGTGGAAGTGAGCATCTTTGGCTTGTTCTAGACCTTAGAGGAAAAGTCTTCAACTTTTCCCAATTTTTGTCATATATGGCCTTCATTGTGCTGAGGTATGCTACGATTTAGATGTTCATCCCCTCCAAATTTCATGTTGAAATTTGATCCTCAATGTTGAAGTCAGGGCCTAATAGGAGGCGTTTGGATCATAGCAATGGATCCTTCATGAATAGATTACTGCACTCCTTTAGGGTAAGTTCTTACTATATTAGTTCCCATGAAAGCAGATTGTTAAAAAGAACCCGGAACCTCTTCTCTTTTCTGTTGCTTCCTCTCTGATCATGTGACTCTGCACATGCCCACTCCCCTTCACCAGGAGAGAAATCAGCTTGAGGGTCTCACCAGATAAAGATGCCCCATATTGCACTTTTCTATCATTAGAAGTGAGCCAAATAAGCCTTTTTTTAAAAATAGATTTTCCAGCCTCAAGTATTGTTTATAACAACAAAAAAATTGACAGAGACAGGATATATACCTTCTATACTTAATTGACTGAGAGGAATGTTGTTTTGTCAAATGCTTTTTCTGCATCTATTGCAATGATCATAAGGTTTTTGTCCTTTCCATTAATGTGATATGTTACATTTATTGAATACTTTAAACCATCCTTACATCCCTGATAGGTAAAAACTGACTTCTACTGTTTTGCTAATTGTTTCCTTGTTGTTTTGTAGAACTTTTGTTCTTTTCTTCCTTCCTCTCTTGTTGTTTACCTTTCTGATTTGGTGGTTTTCTGTGGTGCTAAGCTTTGATTCCTTTCTTTTACTCTTGTGTATCAGCTGTAATTTCTTTCTTTGTGATTATCATGAGACCAATATATAGATTATTATAGTTATAATAAATGATTTTAAGCTGATTGTTAAGTTTAAGCTAGCAACTTAACTTTGGTTGCATAAAAATATTCTAGACTATAGTGGGGGAAGAGCAAAAGTAACATAAATATATATATATATAAGTATATATATATATTTGCCTTAATTTGCATCTTTTTCTATTCTATGTTCCTTAATAGGTAATTATAGCAGTTATTTTTTTAATATTTTGCCTTTTAAAGTTCATACTAGAGATTTGAAAGATTTACATAATACTATTGCAGTACTGGTATTGAGTACTCAGTACTTATTCTGAGTTTCCTTATGAGTTTACTTGTACTAGTGAGTCTTAGACTTTCACATGTTTTCATTATAGCAATTACCCTTTTGCTTCCAGTTATAGCATTCCCTTAAGCATTCGTATAAGGCTGGTGCTGAATTCCCTCAGCTTTTGTTTGTCTGAGAAAGACTTTGTTTTTTCTTCATTTCTTAAAAATAGATTTGGTGGATACAGTATTCTTGGCTGCCATTTTGTTTCTTTCAGCACTTTGAGTATATAATCCAAATTTTCTCCCTAACTTCAAGGTTGCTGCAGATACCTATTTTGATATCTTTGCATAAAAATATTCTAGATTTTGCTCTTCCCCCACTACTCTGGAGAAATAGATACATGGGACTCAAGGAAGTTCCCCAATTTGGGCTCAAAGCTTGTGAGGACTATAGCATTGTCCTGTAGTGGTCCATCTGCAGTGGAAATGAGGGCTGCTAGAGGTCTCCTGCTTACCCTTCTCCTACAAGGGGATATCCCTTCTTTCTTTGAGCTGATCCTTTCTTTCCTTCAGCACTTTGAATATATAATTCAAATTTTCTCCCCTCCTGCAAGGTTGCTGCTGAGAAATCTGCTGATAAACTAATGGAAATTCCCTTAGAAGTGACTTGACTCTTTTCTCTCGCTGCTTTAAAAAGTCTCCTTTTGTATTTGATTCCTGACAGTTTGGCTATAAAGTGTTTCACAGAAGACCTTTTTGTAATGATTCTATTTGGGAACCTTTAGGCTTCCTAGATTTAGATGTTTGTATCTCTCCCAAGAGTTGGTAAATTTTCAGCTATTTAGTTAAATATGTCTTCTGTGCCTTTCTCTATCTCTTCTTTTTTGGTAATTTAATAATGTAAGCATTATTAGGCTTCCTAGATTTAGATGTTTGTATCTCTCCCAAGAGTTGGTAAATTTTCAGCTATTTAGTTAAATATGTCTTCTGTGCCTTTCTCCATCTCTTCTTTTTTGGTAATTTAATAATGTAAGCATTTGCTCACTTAATGGTATCCCGTAAGTCCTGTACACTTTCTTCTTTCCTTTTAATTCTTATTTCCCTTTTCCCTCTGAACATTCATAATTTCTTTCTTCTGCCTTGTCTATCTATTGTTGAAGCTCTGAATTGTACTTTTACTTTGTACTTTATTCAGCTCTAAGATTTCTGTTTGGTCTTTTTTTAATAACATCTATCTCTTTATTGAATTTCTCACTCAGATCATGAGTTCTTTTCCTGATTTCACAGCTTTGGCTTCCCTGTTGTGCAAGACCACCTATTCCTTAAGGGGCAGGGTGCTTCATGGGCTTGGGTGCCAAAGTCATGGCCACTCTACTGGGCCTAGGCTCCAAGTAGACAGGATTACAGTGTTGCAGCCACCTGTGTGAGCATGGTAGAATGACAGCAGAGCCTAATGCATGAAGGGATGCTGTGCTCCAGTTGGGAGCACTTTAGCAGCAGTTTAAAGTTTCAAAATGGTGCCAAGCTGTAGCAGCTTGGGTCCTCAGAGGTGAGGATGCACAATAGGGGTTCCTATGCTGGAGACATGCATACATGGGACTCAAAGAAGTTCCTCAAATTGGGCTCTGAGCTTATGAGGACTACAGCATTCTCCTGTACCACGGCCAGCTGGTATCTGTGGTGGAAATGAGGGCTGCTGGAGGTCTCCTGTTTAATTTTCTCCTATAAGGGGATGTCCCTTTGGCCCTGAGCTGATCCTGGTAGGGGAGATGGTGTGGCAAAGGCAAAGTGCTCTCCTCTCTAGCTGCTGTACTGAGTTGCTATGCTCCACAGAGATTCTGCCACTCCCTTGCTATCCTCCACCATTCTGCAGTCAATCTAGTTGAACTGCAGTTACTTATTTGTTATTTTGGTCCTTTTTAGGTCCTAGTTAGCCATCTTGCTGACATCCAGGAAATGTTTTGAGTGAAAAATAAAACAAGTTCTTTCTAATATTCATTTTGTATTTTCAAATTTGTAAAGCAAAATGTTAATATTTGAATTTTGGTTTTTAGTGTTGATTGATAGGGAATTAGAGTAAGGTTTATAAATTCTTCCTTCTATGTGATTTTCTGGTGAATGAACTACAGCTTTCCTTGACACATTTTGTGGTAGATGTGAATGTGTGGTTTTGAGTGGTAGAAACAGCACCAGACCAGTTCATGTTTGCACTTTTCCTGTGTGCCCTTCAAACAATACATTTACCTCCCTCAGACTCGGATCCCTCATTTACAAAAGAGAAATTATCCTACCACATTTGCTTGGAGACAGTACAAAGGTCATTGAGATAATGGGCATCACAGTATTCTGACCTTTGAAGGAGCTTACAGGTATTATGTATCATTTCTGTGAATCCAGAAATTATTAAATACTTACCTAATTAGATCATGAATGTGACATGGCCTAAAATGGTAGTATAAATGGAAGGTATTAGATATATAAAACCTATTCTCAACTAAAGGAATATTAAAATTTTCCACAAAGGGTATCAAGGAGATGATTAGTTTTACAGTATACATTGCATATGATACTATAACATAAAACATGAATATATTGTATTGAATTATGTATTTTCATTAGAAGACTTACATGATTGCTGCATGTCTTATACCGAATATTCTGCCCTTCACAATTCCTAAAGGAAAAAGAAAAAAGAAAGAAGAAAATAATGACTTCATAGAAGATACAAGAATTTTTTAAAAAGTAAGGTTCTAGTTCCCTGTTAAACTTTTACTAGCACATATTACCTCAAAGATTCAAAGTTCGAATTCTAAGAAATTAACTTTCATGGATCAGGGGACCAAGAAGTTTCATGGAAGTGTCATATTAAACAGAGAGTGACTTCTTTAGTTGATCAATATAATAACAATAGTCATACACAATTCTTACCCTAGGGTCCATATAACCACTGAAATTAATCTAAAATGTTTGTGCCTATCATGTGTGCATATGTCTATTTTTTCTATGTGGAAGAAGGAAAAGAAGCATTTGTGTGGCATGTCTCCCCCAGGGAATTTCTCTCTCCAACTTACTTTGGGACCTGAGTTAGCTAGACTCACTGTCCTCCTTCTCTAATTCTCTGTTAGAAATTTGCGTGAGGCAATGCTTTCATTTTATTTCAGTCATTGACCGAATGGCTGAAATAGATGCTACAGAATAATGTTGGGGCAGCTTTCTTGGGATGCCAATACTGGTAGATTTGATAATTCTCCAGGGACAATCACACATAACCTGTCCTCCCATCCAGCCACCAGCTCTGGGACTCTCCCACTCATGTTCCAGGCAGACTTTTCCTTTGGGACATCAGCATTCCACACAGTAGGTATCAGCCTCAGTCCGCTGCTGCTGCTCTGTATTTTACATAAACCCCTTAAAGGAATCTGAGCAATTCATGGCAACTTTCCTAATTTTTCAGATTCTATGGCAAATATGGAGCAAGAAAAGATAAAAACAGGCTTAAATAATCATCTTGAATTAAAGATACTATCTAGGGTTTAAAAAAATAATATTCCTGTGGAATAGAAGACTTTAAAGTAGGCCTGAGGAGACTGGTTTTTGGTGGTAGTATTTTAATATGAACCTGTATGAAATGATTTATAAACTTAAACTCATCACATATACTTTCTGATTATCCTATTTTTAATGATTATAAAAGGAATAAGTGAAAAACAGTAATGTGCCAAGAAGTACAGAGGTAGAAAATCACTCATCCAAAATCCTATCACCAAGAATTTTATTTTCTTGGTATTTAATCTTCCAATTTTTCTGCCATGATTTATTTACAGAATTGAAAATCATCCTGTTAATTCATCTTTGTGTTTGTTTAATCTGATATAAGCATTTTCCCATTTCATTGATAATATTTTGGAAAATTTGTTTTAATGATTGGGTAACAGTCCATTATAGACATTACTTTTTCTAGTTCAGAATTTAAAAGGTTTGGCTCAGTGCCCATAGCTCAGTGGTTAGGGTGCTGGCCACATGCACCAGGACTGGTGGGTTAGAACCCAGCCTGCTAAACAACAATGACAACAACAACAACAGCAGCAACAACAAAAATAGCTGGGTGTTGTAGTGGGTGCCCGTAGTCCCAACTACTTGGGAGGCTGAGGCAAGAGAATTGCTTAAGCCAAAGAGTTTGAGGTTGCTGTGAGCTGTGATGCCACAGCACTCTACCAAGGATGACATAGTAAGACTGTCTCAAAAAAAAAAAAAAAAAAAGAATTTAAAAGATTTTAAATTGTGGCAAAATGCACAGAACATAAAATTTACCATACTAAGCATTTTTAAGTATACAGTATTTGTTAAATATATTAAAAATAAGTTGCTTCTTTTTTCCCTAATTTTACATTTTAAATACAGCAAAATGCATTCTGGGGGTTATGTGATTTTATGCGTTTTGACAAACCCATGCAGTTGTGTAACCACTCCCACATCAGTATTTGGAACATTTCCTTCACCTCCAAATGCCCTCATGGTGCCCCTCTATCTACCCTCAGTTCCTGACAACCATGGATTTGTTTTCTGCCCAATTTTGACTTTTACAAAATGTCATATAAATAGAATCACAACCACATATAGCTTTTTGAGACTCTGTTTGGCATAATATATTTAAAATTCATCTTTGTTGCCCAGGTGTGGTGGCTCATGCCTCTTATCTTAGCATTCTGGGAGTCCAAGGTGGGAGGATCACCTGAGCTCAGGAATTCGAGATCAGTCTGAGCAAGAGCAAGGCTCTGTCTCTACTAAAAATAGAAAAATTAGTTTGGCGTGGTGGTGAGTGCCTGTAGTCTCAGCTACTACTCAGGAGGCTGAGGCAGGAAAAGTCCTTGAACCTAGGAGTCTGAGGTTGCTGTGAACTAGGCTGATTCCATGGCACTCTACCCAGGGTGGCAGAGTGAGATTCCATCTCAAAAAACATAAAAAAAACAAAAATAAATACAATTCATCCTCATTGCATGTATCAGTAGTTTGCTGCTTTTCAATTGTATGTACAACAGTTAGTTTATTCTTTCACCAGTTAGACATTTGAGTTGTTTTCAGTGTTTGCTAATTATTTTAAAAATGCCATGAACATTCACATACAAGTTTTGTGTTAATAAAGGTTTCATTTCTTTTGTGTAAATAACAAGAAGTGGGATTGCTGACTCTGCTTATTTTTATATAAATGCCATAAAAATTATTTGCTAAACATCTTTATGTTTTCATTTTTGTTTATACTTAGAATATATGTCTAATAGTGAATAACAAATTGTAGTCCTAATATGCATTTTTCACATGTGAGTTTTTAACTTGTGGCTGGCTAACTCTTGGCTGGATATCAGGCTGAAATATTATTGAAGCTTTGTGTTTCACATAGGAAAGGCAATACAGAAAGGTATAGCTTGCTATCTTAGTCAAAAGTATCTTATAGCTCTGTCTCAGGCTCACAATATAGACTGTATATCATTGGTCTCTACCCCACTGCCCACTGTCCTAATGGTACTTTTTATACGACCCCTTTTCCTCAAAACTGTAAGCACGCATTGCTGACCTTTGACCTCTAGACTTAATTCATTTGCTTGTGTGTTTTGTATTTCTTCCTAGAAACCTAAAGTTGCTTTGTTTTGTTAGTATTTAAAATAAAAATTAAGTTATAATCACGATGCATCTAGTTGTGTGCTCCTTTTCATCAATTTGTACTGAAAATGATGAGCCCTTTAGAATGAAATACTCAAAGTTTTTATAGTGGTGCTGATTATTCTCAGACCAAGATTCTGATTACTGTTCTTGATCTAGAAATGCCTGTAATTCTGAACTTATTATTTCTTATTGACACATCTATGATTTTTTTCTTATATACATCTCATTTATTTGAATTTGAACTTATAAGAAATCTCCTACAGATATTTATTCACAAGAAATTAGCCACAAGACTAATTTTATTTTACTATAGTGATTATTTTGTATTTTATTGTGGATGGTATACTTTTTAATCTTTATTTTCACTCTTAATTATTTGTGTTCCTTGAACTCACCTTCCTGCATTTACATCTTATACCATTTAACACCATCCTCACCTTACACCTTTTGTTCCAAAGACAACATGAGCTCCAGTCTTCTCACATCTGTGTTTTCTGGGAGGTGTAATCCCTAATTAGATTTAGGTGGTTTTGGGAGAAAGAAGTTTTGGGGTAAAAAGAACAGCATCGTGGCTGCCCCCCAAACCATTACCCATATCACATACAATTAATTTCTCCTTCTCCACTTTTGATTTACAACATCTTCTCAGATCATCTCTAGGGCTCACCATTTCTTAGTACTTTGCAACATAGTGTTTCCATCTTTTGATTTTGTCATAGGTATATTATTCTGAAATTTATTAATGAGTTAATGAAACAATATCAATGTTAAACTGGGAGGCTGGCCGAAAAATTGTTAGGGTGGAGAAGTCTTTCTCTTAGTCAAAAAGAACTGACTCCATTCTACTAGGAAACAGTCCTGCCTGGGGACAAGGTCATTCACTTACATGACTTATTTCATTTTGCTTTTTGTGTGTAGATAAAAGAAATAATAGAAAAATTGAAAGGATAATTGAAATTACTCTGCTTTTTTGGGAAAATCCCCAATTGAGGAAAGTTGTGAATAGAGTAAACTTTTTGTACCATACTCACTTACGGTCCTAACAAGCTTTAGATTCTGTTTCATGGGGGCAGGTAAATTAGAGAGACACAGTTTAAGAAAACATTAGAATTTAAATACTAGAATACAAAAACTCTTGAATCTTACAAAGAATGATGTTTTCTTTAAAAGTGTTTTAGAACTTCGAAAATAATTTTTCAGAGCATTTTTAGTAATTGTTTAATTTTAGATGTTAAATAAAAAACATTTTTGTAAAAAGAAATTTAAAAAAGGTAAGAAAGGGGGGGCGGAGCCAAGATGGCGAACTGCAGCCAGCTTTTTACAGAAGCTCCCGTCCAGAAGGAGGCTGAAAGGACAGAACCTTAGCAAAGTAGCTGATGGTTTGGAGCAGAGACAAGAGAGAAGATTGAAGAGTGCACTTCAACCTTCCTGAGG